TGTACAAATCTTCATTGGTTATATAAATTGTCTTTGAAATTGGTTGAGCATGATGTAGAAATGTATATTTATGGAAAGACCTGTATGAAAAGAACAGCAAGGAAAAACTGACAGTAGAGTTAAAAGAGCAATCTGTTTTCCCCAAAGCTTCCTACTATTAAATTGATAAAATAAAGGGAACTTACTCTATTCTATTATTGAGTTTTTAGCCCAGTTTTTTTCTTTAATGAGTTAATATTCAGCACATAATAGACATTCAGTAAATTATTTCAGTTTATACCCCTGACTGTAATGTACTTGGTCTGGTACAAGATATAAAGACACAACTTTGTAGATTTGGATTCTTAGTTTACAGTCAAGTCTCCTTCCCCACTTTTGCTTATGTTTTGGGGAGAAAGGACTATTTTCAAATGATATGCAAGTTAAAATTCTGTAAATGGTTGAATCTCATATTTTTGTATTGAGTAGTTTACTTAGAAGCGTTTTAGTTTGATCAGATTGAGACTATGATGTTTTGGTTTTTTTGAAACAAATTCTGCCAAACCAACTTTTCCTTTGGTCTCCAGGGTACCATGGCCAAACAGTGGCATAAATATGAACCCTTATCATGTTCCCTTATTAGCATAGTTTGGTGTTGTTAATTTCTTGATTGTCCTTTTAAATCAATTTAGTAATAAAAAGTAAACATTTCTGACGGAGGCATTATTTTTCTAGAAACTTGTATTTTAGTTGGTGGTATAATTTAAATGAATATATAGGCCAGAGAGATGGTGGGTAGGAAGGCAAAAATATTAGTAACATTGGTGCATAGCAATAACATTAATACTCCATTTTTTCATTACCATTAATTGTATTATGTTGAATTCCTTGGCTTAGGAGTCTAATAAATAAGTTGCTTTAATAGAAAGTGGCTGTGAATGATGTGATTGACTTGTGATATGCCTATTGAATGTTTACTGTGTGCTAATAATCACTCTGCCAAATTCTTTACATGCAATAGCTCATTTTAATCATTACAACTTTACAAAGTAGCTAATACTATTATCCCCACTTTATAGAAAGGTAAATGAGATTTAGAGAGGTGAAGCAACTTGTCCAAGATTACCTTGCCAGAAAGTTGCTGTCCTAGAATTTAAACCCAGGCATTCTGATTCTAGAGCTCTTGCTCTTTATTATATATGTTACAGAGAATGGATTGCTGTTAACTTAACACTTGGATTCCAGAGATAAGCTAAAATGCCTTTTGTTTTTAGGATAGTCTTTCATTGATAATTTAGCAGTGAACTGTGTAAGACTTTCATGATTAGTTCTGCTTTTGAAATTAGTTTCAGGCATGACTGTTAGCAAATATAGGTGTATTGGAAAAAATCCTCAATTCTTCTAAGATTTCAGGGAAAACATCTTAAGACTAACATTGAAAACAAAATTATTACAGCTTATGCCAGCACTAAAAGAAAAATAAGTAATATATGGTATTTTTTGGTTAAATGTTCAGTTGGAGCAGTGGTTTTTTTTTTGAAAAGTACTGCTTGTTTGTAAGTAAATCTGGTATATTTATATTTCTTGGTAATATTAGAATGTGATTCTCCAAATTAGCCATAATTAAGGATTATTATTTCTCTCTATCTCTTCCTGTAGGTTGTGAAGTGTTCTAAGTGTTCTGCTCTTTGTTTTAATATTTGACAGCAAACTTAATGAAAGTTTTTTAAAAAATTATGTACACAATCAAGTATCTATTGGACACCTGTTATGTCAGGAACTGTGAGCCTTCCGTTTTTTTGTTTTGCTTTTTTAAAGAATCAGTGTGCATTGGGAACATCACCTTTTTGGAATTAATTGATATTTGATAATCAAGAATTAGACCAAAAAGCTCCTGAGTAGCTGAAATCCCCAGACAAATAGTACATACACTTTCCTCATAGGTTATTTTTTGGCTTTTAGTTAGAGTTCTTTATTTTTTAACACATAGTTCTAAATCATTCAATTGCCTTTAAAAACACCCTGAAGATTAGAAAGAATGAATGTACACTGATATTAAGCATTACAGCTTCTAAAAAGAGTAGACAGACAATTCAGGAAAACAGGCATATTGGGATTATTTAGTATAGGCTCACACAGCTCCACGGGAAATCACTCTGATTATTGTTCAAAATGTTGATCTGGAAAAAGTTTAATTATACTAACTTCACTCTCTTTTGAAGGGACAGAAGGCAGGAAAATCTTTTCTGGATAGCTGAGTTTCTGTAATAACTTCTCACTGCATCAAACAGTCTAATTTCTTTGTCACTGAAGTGATGAGGAAGAGAACTGGGTCATCTCTGTCTGGTTGACCAACTCTTGTTGGTTCTCAGTGATGTGGATAAAGGTACTAAAGTGTAGTATTCTAGCCCAGAGAATAATTTCTAGCTCTTTCTTTCATTGTCCATCTCTGTTTGTTACTCAGCAACAGCATTTTACGTGATTTAAGATTTGTTGCCTAATTTTTTTCTTCTGTGATATATATAGAGTTGCTGTTTGGATTTTGACATGCCTATACCTTCTATTTGTGGGATGCTTAGAAGGCACTGCGTGGAGTCATTTAAGCTTTCTTATGAATTAAATTAGCTATAAGAGAGTAACTTCACCAAATACACTTATAGCCTCTGTAATGAGAATTGAAAAGGTAGGTACCTTAATTGTTGATATGAGGAAAAAGGCCAATCAAAGCAAAGTACTTTTTTTCTCTTTTGGAGGTCTAAGAAATTCTTAGGGGCTTAGTTGGCTAATACAAGTGAAAAGGTATTTCAGATTTCTTTCCAATATAGGCTAATCTATCTTTTAAAAATGTGACTCCTTCTATTTCCCCTTATTTCATAAAATCAGTTAATTCTTTTTAATTGATCAACCATTTTCTTCAAAATTTGTGTTGAAGTTACTGAGCTAAGTCAAATTGCTACTCCAGCTCTGAAGGGAAGGGAAAGCTTTGAGTTGGTAGGGCTTCAATAATAATATATAGTTATATGTATATTATATTTGCATGATATATAGTAACTACCACAATAGTATTATTAATTGGATGCTGTATAATAGTTCCATACTGTCTTATTTACATATTATGCTTTAAAAAACTGGAATTTACTTGCATGATACAGAATTTAAAAAGTATTCATGATGTCTTCTTCCTGCTTCTGCTCTGTAATTACCAGTTCCCTTTGCTGGTGACAGCCAGCATTCCAATTTCTTAAGTATCATCCATAGACATTCTGAATCTTTACAGGGTATTCCTGCTCTGGAATCATATTTTGTATATACAGACCTAAATTAACACTGGCTTTAGCATAAGAGTGTTAGAATTAAAACAATGTTTCTGTCAATTATTCTAGAAAACTACTGTTGTTTTTCATTCTAGTAGATTACTAAACTTGTTTTTTTGAATGTGATGGGGAGTAAGTACAAAAATGAGAGAGTGCTTCTGTTTGGCTATAAGAGGTAAAATGGTAATAGTCATAACTGATGAACACTTAAGCAGGACACTGAAAATATTCACCACTGTTTGTATATTGAGAAACGATTTATAGTGTCCAGCAGATACTGTCTGTGTCCTTGCTGGAAATATTTCATGGTAAAGGAAAAAGACAAAAGATTATTGATATTCTCACTTAACTTCCCATTTTTCAAACATCTTAGATGAGAAAACCTGTTCTCTTGAGAGATCAGAGGCGCAGAGTGCGTCAGTGTCAGTGAAGCCTGTGCCTTTTACCTCTTTAAGAGCGCACGGTTTCATTCTTCTCCTAAACTGAGCATTCCTTAATATTAAAAAATTAAAAAAAATTTTTTTATTTAATAATGTATTCTAGTCATATGACTTAGTCTTGTTATGGAAGCTAAACTTCTGTGCCTCATGTTTCTTAGAGGCAACCTTAGCTATGACAGCTATTTCCTCTAGGAGTTTTGTCATAATTTTAATTAGTATGCTATTTGTCTATTTCTTAAAATTATTTTTAGATATTATTGTCATCTCATTATGGTACGTATTATTTATTGTCATCCCCATTTCCCTTTTACTGATATAATTATACCACCAGTTTTAATTATTTTATTTACTTAAATTATTATTCAGATGATTAATACTCAGTATCTAAACATTAAGCAATATTCTGTGCAGAATTGAGTACTGTACAATGGTTACCTTTCCTTTAAAAAAAACTTTTTTTGAGATCTAATTCACATACCATAAAACTCATTAATTTAAGATATATAGCTCAGTGGTTTTCAGTATTCATGGAGTCTATAACCATCACTGTAGTCTAATTTTAGAATATTTTTATCACCCAAAAAAGAAATCATGTATTCATTAGTAGTCATTCCTAATACTTCCGTTTTTCTAGCTTTAGGCAACCACTAATCTCTGTGGATTTGCCTATTTTTGACATTTTATATAAATGGATTCATACAATATATGGCTTTTTGTGACTGACTTCTTTTACTTCATGTAATGTCTTCTAGGTTTGTCCATGTTGCAGCATTTATCAGTACTGCATTACTTTTTATTGCTGAGTAATATTCCATTGTGTGGAAATGACACTGTTTGCTTATCTGTTCATCAGTTGATGGACATTTGGATAGTTATCTACTTTTTGGCTATTAGGAATAATACTGCTATGAACATTTTTGAACAAGTTTTTGTGTGGACATATATTTTCAGATCTTTTGGGTACATAGGTGTGGAATTGCTAGGTTGTATGGTAACTCTGTTTAATAATTTAAAGAAACTCACATATCCTTTGCTTTTACATTTTTTTTTACACTTTTTTTGTTGCCATTTTTTTCTTGCAATTTGCAATGATCACAATCTTAATTTTTTTTTGCCTCAATTTTATTAGGCATTATGTAGATTTTGCCCTGCCCTCTGTTCTTTTCCTGGAGTGTCCTTTTCCTAGAGTCCTGTCCTACTGCTGGGATCTGGCCTGGTTGTTCTCCATGCCCCCACGGTACATCTGTCATCCTCTGATTTATTTCATTGCTCTTCAGAGTCCACTCTCCTATTTCCCAGATCCCATGTCTGCATCACCATGTAGTTCTTTTCTAACTTAATCTCATGACATCAGCCTGGAGTATTAACTGTTTGGTAAATGTACCTGGAAAAGTTTTTATTTGTTTTTTTCTCTCACTTTTGGTCCAAAAGAGTAGTTAAGAAGCTGACAGGCTTTTTTGACAGTTGTCTCACCTTTCATTAATTTGTCACTGAGGCATAGATGTTTTGGGAGGTTACTTTGTGTCATATGATCAAGTGATTACCAGGCCAACATGAAGCAACAACATGAAGCAAGTACAGAAATCTGAACAATATAAATACTAAGCAGTTGTTTAAGCCAGAACTATTCAATAGAAATATACAAGCCACAAGTGTGAATCACATATGTAATTTAAAATTTTCTAGAAACCACATTAAAAAGAGTAAAAAGACAGGTGAAGTTAATTTTTTGAATGTATTTTATTTAAACCAGTGTGTCCAAAATATTATTTCAACACATAATCAGTGTAAAATTTACTAATAATAAATTTTGCATTCTTTTTTTTGGGGTACTAAATCTTCACAACCTAGTGGGTATTTTATTCTTACAGAGCATCCTAATTTGGAGTAGCCACATTTTAAGTGCTCAGTAGCCACATGTTGCTAGTTGTTACTGTATTGAACAGTGCAGGTTTAGAATTTTCCAGGAATTATGTTATTGTGTGATACTGTTGTCAGTCTGTCTAATCATATATGTGGTCTATTTATTCTAAAGGAATAGATAAGGGGAATGTAGATTAAAAACACTTCATTGATTTGTCTCATTGCTTTGTTTTGTTTTTAGTCATATCTTCAGTTTATTTTGAAATTTTATACCACATTAAAGGAGGTTGAGAGATTTATGTTCTTCAGAAAGGTGCTTGGTATAGGAGGTAATGATTTTTTCCCCATATTTTAGCATAACTATTAAAATGTATATTGAAATTCTTATTGGTATGCTTGTTAGATATTGTCATTGCCATAGTTGATCTGGTCCTCGTGGAATCCTATTAGTCTAAATATTCTTTGTCATACACTTTCTCCCCTTGCTCTTTCAAAGACCTACCCACGTTTCAGAATCTCATATGCCACATCAGCTACTTAGTCTGCTATGCCTTTTACCGTAAGGTATGAAAGGCATTTGTGTGTAACTCCTGTAGCACAATCACTCTTCTTATATTCTGCCTTGCATTCTGGTTAACTTGTTTTGTCTCTCCCCAGGTGATTATAAATCCCAGTATGGCAAAAACAATATTTTACTCATCTTTATATTTCCTGCAATGTAGATCACAGTGCTTTCTATACACTTAATACATATTTGAGTTGAAGGCAATTTGTCATGATAGTTACATTTATACTATACATGGTAGTTACATATGGTATTAGAGTTTCCAAGTCATCAAACTATTGCTGATGTTTCTAGAAACATTTAAGTTTTGATATAAGAAATAAATATATGAAGTTAAACCTGGGTTTTTGTTTAAACACAAAGGAGCAATAGTAGGAAAAAGAAAGAGACTCAGATACAGACATTTATGTTATCCTATGTGTTTAGCACAGAGTGGCTGTGAACTCTTTGGATGGATAACTGAATGAAAGAAAGAACTCCGGTGCTAGGTTGCATTGTTTGATAAGTACAGTACCTCTGAAACACTGAGCCTATCCAGGTATTATAATACCCCAAGTCCTCCAGAAGTTTATTTGGAGTGGATGAGGGTAGAAGACAGATTTAGAGTAATGAAAAGTGACAAATCAGTTTATTTTCACCAAGTAGGCTATTCTGCAAGAGATAAAGTAAACTGACTATTTAAATATGAATAGGCCCTTTCACCATGGATGTACTTAGACATGTAAATTTTTTGTGGGGATTTATGAAAACTATAATTTTTACAGGCCCTCTTTTTACATCTCTCGGATACTGTTTATTTGTCTGATAGACTAGTGTATATTTGTGTATCAATTCAAGACCTTTCCCAGAGAAAGTAAGAAATACTAATAAACAATATAGATTATCTTGCTAAATAAACCAACCTCTTAAATAGCTGTAAAGTTTGACTGTCTGTATTGTGTTTTGAGAAACCATGTTTTCAGGATAATTGGTTTCTACTGATCAACATGGTATCTACTTCTGTGACTAACTGTGTACATTGTGAGATGGTTGGCTGGCCTAGGGCATGATTCTTACACAAAAAGAGATTTATTTTACTTTCTCTAAGTAGTAAGTGTTTGTGCCCTTCTTGAAATCCAATCAGTTCCGAAAGAGCAAAGCATAATTCTATTTAAATTCAGTTGAACGTCATGGATAACCTTTATTGAAAGCCTTTTGAAGCCTTAATATTACAGTATATATTTACGTTTTATCAATTTCTAGAAAATTAAAGAATGGCTGTGCACTTTCAAAGGATAGACGAAGTGTTCTGTCTATCTGTCTATTATTATATTTCTGCTATAATGGAGAATGAGTACTTAGTAAAAAACAAAGGGTCTGTGTGTCGTGACCTCTAAAGTAAGAGCAGATGGACCAATTCCTGGGTCCTTAGGAAAGAGAAATCCCCAGTGGCAGAAGACTCTGACTACAATGTCTTCTACATGGTATCAACATAAGTTGTACAGCTTGTTAGCTATCAGTATTAATTTAGGAGTAAGATATTGTTTAAAAATCTGGCTTTACTTTATGTCCAAATGAAACATCATCTTTTTGTTTTTCACATGTACCTGGGAAAGCCTGTATACTTTCTAAAGTTTAGGGAAGAGGTAAGAAATGCTGCTGTTGATCACAGGAGTGAGGGTTGGGGAAGAAGTTAATTATAGAAAAGTTTGTAGTTATGATGAGTGTTGAGTTTCCCTGGATGCTAATTGTGGTAGCCTAGATCTTAGAACTAGGATAATTGCGATTCAGCTACCCGTTGTGTATTTACTGTGTGTCAACCACTGTCATTTCATTTAACTTTCATAATACTTTGAGGCAATATTCTCTCCCATTTAATGGATGAAGAAATTAAATTAAAAATATTTTAATTGATTTATTCAGATCTCACAGCTAGTAGGAATAGGCCTGGTGTGTGGAACTAAGGCCACCGGCCTTCAGGTAAAGACAAAAAATTTTCATTATTTACTATGTTATTGCACTGTATTAAGCAATTTATTTCTATCTCATTTAATCTTTACCACAGTCTGGTAAGGCAAATAAAATTTACAAATGAGGAAACTGAAGCTTAGATGGCCCTCCTTACACAGCCAGCAGATTTTGTAGCCATACTTTGAATCTGTTCTTTTAATTGCTACACTCTATGACCTTTATAATTTAGAAAGAGAATAAGAAGATTCTGGGAAATTGGTTGATTTAAGTTTTCTTAGGGTAAGGCTTAGGAACTTTTGCTTTTTATTAATGTTACCAAGGAGAAAGTAAATTGTCAGTCATATACAAGTAAAGTGTTTTATCCTTTTGAAATAAAAATTTTAAGAGCAAATACCTTGCTTTTAAAGTTAATACAGACCATCTATGAAACAGTGACTGTAAGATGTGGGTAATAAATACAGTCGAATCCATATTGCAGAGTCAGTTATTAGCCAGATCCCATTATCGTTTAGGAAACTGAGGCTCAGAGAGGTTGGGTAAATTTTGCTGAGGTTTTATAACCAGCAACACTGATGGCAGATGCTTGGATTCTAACCCAGTAATTTAATCTAGAACTCTTATTCTTTACTGTCCTAAGAGAATGTGAATGATGTGCAAAAATGGAGCCTTGCTACCTCTGGGAACTTGGTGAAAATTGGTGAAGACACCAATTTTGAGCTTGTTGAAAACATCATAGCTTGACTCAAGGCAGGTGTTAGACATCACCCACCTGCTTCCATTTTTATTGTTTCCTGTGGTCTCTTGTCTCAGTTTTTTTTGTTGTTGCTTTGCATTATTCTTGGACATGAAGATCCATGAAGATCCTCTTTATTTAGTTGATGCTTAATAAATGTTGAATGTTGAAAAATAAATCAGATTTAAAGCATTGAATCTTGAATGTGCAGACCAAATTTTAATACATCAGTTCATAATCATGTTTTTCTTTTTAGTATTTTTGTAGTTTTGAGGGTAGTTACATATTAATTTAAAAAGTTGATTTATAGTTTTCATGACTTGGAGAAAATTTTCTGTGCTTCTGAGGAACTTTTCTTAGTTGGCAAGTGTTTTAAATGTCAGATTATGGTAAAATTCTGTGATGATACAAAATTCAGATACAGTATAATTGGCTCTGATCCTCTGTACTGCATTTTTTTCTGCAGGTGAGGCCAGGTGCACATTCTGTTTGTAATAATTGGTTTATTTCATACAGTTCTGATAAATGTACACTGATACATGAACTTTTTTTTCCTTATCTACTCTAACTGAAAGACTAGTGGAAAAAGTTTTCTGTTTATATTGTGATAACAAGCCCTGTTTATCCTGCAGTTGGATTTTTCAGGTCATATTTGAAAGAGGATGTCTGGGTTTTAACGTATAATAGTTAATAAATGGAGTATTCATGTATCTACAAGGCATTTATGTGCCAACTCAGCAATACAGAATGTAGGCAGGAACTAGACTGGATAAAAATGAACGCTGAAGAGCCAAAAGAGCTATCATAGAATCTGAAGCAAAGTGTTGTTTTGTTTTTTAACCGAGATGAAAGTCCTTTGGTCAGCGTTTCCTATACCAGTTACTCTAAGCAATGCTGTATAATATAATACATTATAATGCTGAAATAAATATTCTTTGGCCAAAGAAGTTTAGGAAATGCTGCTTATGGGATCCCTTGAAGGATTGGTATTCCTTGGATCACACTTTGGAGGCTTTGTCTTAGGTATTTGGAACTTGCTTTTATTTTACAAGAGAAGGGAAGAGAGCCAACATTTAAAGAGCATTACTCTACAGGACTTAGGTGATATCTCCATTTTACCGACAGGGAACCTGAGGCCCTTCTGGAGGGTAAAGAACATAAAACTAGTAACAGGGCAGAACTGGGAATAAATCCCTAATGTCTCTGAGTCCTAAACCTTTGCTGTTTTGACCTTGCTATGCTACTGTGTGATTGTAATGAACTACCCATTTGGTTGGATTTTACACTTTAGAAACAGCAGTTAGCAGTAATACTAGGAAAGGGACTAAGCTGCCCTACTTAGGGAAGAAGGAAAGGATAATTTACTACCTGACACGTGTTCTGTATCCTTTGCTTTGCTTAGATGAGCTCCATGTTCCGGGAGGGAGGGGGAAGGTTTCAGAGAATACTCTGTAAGTTAAAGTGCTTTTGGAGTGAAATTTGATAGTACCTTTAGGTATGTATATCTTTATGTCTCTTTTTGACATTTTAAAGCCAGAGCCCGCTCTTTTATTAGGTATAGTGGGCTTACACAAGTTACGAACTTTTTATAGCTTCAGTTTCCTTATTTGGACATAGTGATAACAATACCTGCATTTCTGGGTGATTGTAGTCCTTAAAGGAGATAATAATGCATGTAAGTTGCTTGGCACAGTGTCTAGCACAAAGTAATCTTAGCTGCTATTAGTATTAATAAAAATAATTAAGGCTTAGGTGTAGGTTGTTACCTCTCTGTATCTTTTTTTTTTTCTTACTTTTTATTGAAGTGTAGTAGTTTTACAATGTTAGTTTCAGGTTATTTGTTTTTTTAATGGGCATGTATAGGGTGGTCATAAAGGAAGCCTCCAAGTCGTCTTTTTTTTTTTTTTAACTTATTTGAGGAAAAACATCACCTGTTGCCTTTTAGAGTACAGTCATACCTTATCTTACTTTATTTTGCTTAGCTTTATTGAACTTTGCAGATACTTTTTTTTTTTAAATAAACTGAAAGTTTGTGGCAACCTTGTGTTGTCAGATTATGGTTAGCATTTTTAGCAACAAAGTATTTTATAATTAAGATATATGCTTTTGTTTTTAGACATAATACTTTTGCATACTTAATCACTACAGTGCAGTGTAAACATAACTTTTATGTGTACTGGGAAACCAAAAAGTTTGTGTGACTCACTTTATTGCAATGATCTGGAACCGAACCTACAATATCTCCAAGGTATTAATAATGGAGGTTCCATCTTGAATATATTTTATAGGACACTGAGAAAGTTATAGTTTGTTAGGGATCTGGCACTTTTTCAGTGAGTACTGTTTGTAATCAGCAGATGTTGGCCTAGTGCCCATGAAGTTTTTGTTTGCCTGTTTAATGTGAGATGTGTATTTTAAGTAGATCTGATGTCTATGTAGTCCGTCTTTTTTATACTGCATATTTTTCTTCTGAAAACTATTTTCAGGCTAGTCTGTATACAGTGACAGTTTGGTTTGCATTTGACCATTGGGTATTAAATGTTTAACTGTAATTGGCAAACAAGAAAGATCCTCTTTCTTCCAACTTGGATGTCTACAGTTTTGTTCAATAGAGTTAAATAATCTGAGGTACCCATTGAAAATTTGGAGAATTATTTAGAACCATTCAAAACCATCAAGGTTATTAACTGTGAGTTGATTTCAGCAGAGTATAGTCTTTCCTTCAGTTTTATTCTTCCTTCTCAATTATGAGGAAGTCGGGGAGAGAGGTCTCTTCCCCCTCTAACAATTTTTTTTCTCTTGGTAACTTTTTATTTCCTGCTTTGAAATAGCCAAGATCCGTGGGGGCTCTAAGAACATCAGACAGTTTTCACAGCTTGAGGCAGAGTGATTTTCCTAGGAAACCTTTTCTTATAAAGTGAAATACTCTGTCCTTGCCAGGACACTTTTAAAGAAGCAGCTAGTAGCAGCACCTCACTGCCTTGTCACTGACTAGGCTGAGGGAGGGGAAGAATGAGTCACAGTTTCCTTCTTTCTGCTTTTCCACTTCTCTTCTCCCTTTCCCTTTCCACTTAGCTCTTTGTGGGCATTGAACTTGGTTTCTGGTAGAATGGGATAATTTTCATCAATTTTTTTTTTAAGGGAGCCTAGTATTTCCAAAATGGTGGTGAATGTTTTTTCCATTTTGGAGTATTTATTTTTAAATTATTCATTATTAAGAAGCTTTCAATCCTATAAAAGTCAATAGAATTGTGTAATGTACCACCATGTGTTCATCTCCAATTTCTATAATGATCTAAATGTGGTCAATTTTGTTTCATCTATACCCTTGCCACTACCAAATATTTTTCAAGCAAATTTCAGAGATCATACTTTTTTTCAAATATATTTTTCTAGGGATTTTTAAAATAAACAAACAGAACTATAGCATCATGCTTCTACTTTTCATGGAATATTTGAAAAATTCCTTAACATCAGATAGCAAGGATACACATTTCCCCCAAATTTTTCTGTTTAATGGTTTGTTTGAATTAGGATCCAAAACAAGGTCCATATTTTGCATTTGATTGCTATTTTAAAATCTCCTTATACCTGATGATAATATTCTCCCCTCTTTTCCTTTTTATTTATTTATTGAAGAATTAGATCATTTGTTCTTTGAAATTTCCCACTTTATAGATTTTGCTGATTATTTTTTAATCCCTGTAGTCATTTAATAGAGGAAGATATTCCTTTACCCCGTGTATTTCCTGCAGACCGTTGGATTCTTTTAGTCAGGTTACTTTTTTAGGTGATGCTGAGTATTGCATAATATCAGGTGGCAAATAATGTTTAGAAATCTCTCTTTTTGTGATGTTACTGTTGATTGCTGGGTTTATTGTCAGCCTGATTCACCGTCTATTCTGAAGTTCCCCATCAATCTTTCATCTACATTGATGACAATTGCGTAGGTTAAGGCAAACTTCAGCCTGTGGATGAAATCAGATCCTCTGCTTGTTTTGGAAATAAAGTTTTATTGGAATGTAGCCACACTACTTGCTTAACATATCGTCTGTAGCTGCTTTTGTACTACAGTGCCACAGTTGGTTAAGACAAAGGCTGTATGGCATGTAAAGCTTAAAATATTTACTGTCTTGCCCTTTGCAGAAGAAGTTTGCTGACCCCAGTCTAGATCATTATATCTGATAGTGGTGATATTCTATCATTACTTCTGTTTGTTTGCTGGAGTACTTCTATAAAGAACTTCTTTGCCTTAGTCAATTATATGATTCTGAGGAACAGCAGGATAAACGCCTGATTCTTTTCCAGTTATTTGATAGAGGTGGCCAGTGAGGTTTATTTTTTTGTTTTTAGTATCAGTATGAACCCCTGGTTTTGAATATGTTTGTTTTAATTCATTGCAGTTATTTTTAATTCTCAAATTGTCTCATCTTTAGCTAGTGGAAACCCCCTCATGTTGACTCCTGTATCTTTTGTTAAAACCTCAGTAACCTTTGGTAACCCTATTTTCTAGTATAACAAGATGTTCCTTTCTGATATTTAAAGATCATAATCTGGGTCTTTGTTGCTATAAGTGGGTTGTTGTTTGTAGGCCCTTTTAGTGGACAGAGGTGGGTGTGTGTGTGTGTATGTGAGACTTCTCTTTTTGTGATAAAATAAACGATGTAAAATTGACCATTTGAACTATTTTAAAGTGTACAATTCAGTGGCAATAAGTACATTCACAGTGTTGTATATCCATCACCACCCGTCTAGTTCCAGAACTTTTTCACACCCCAGAAGGAATCCTATATTCCTTAAGCAGTCAATCTGTATTCCTTCCTCTCTCCAGACCCTGGCTCTAATCTACTCTCTGACTCTGGATTTGCTTGTTCTGTGCAGTTCATATAACTAGAATTATACAACATGTGGCATTTGTGTCAGCTTCTTTCACTCAGCATAATGTTTTCAAGGTTCATCCATGCTTCTATTAGTATTTCATTCCTCCATATGGCTGAATAGTATTCCATTGTAAGGATAAACCACGTTTTGTTCATTCAGTTGGTGGACGTTTGGGTTGTTTCCAGCTTTTGGCTATTGTGAATAGTGCTGCTGTGAACATTTGTGTACAATTTTTTTTTCAACACTTGTCAGTTTTTTGGGATGTCTACCTAAAAACTGGGATGGAATTGCTGGCTCATATAGTAATTCTGTGTTTGATTTACTGAGGAACTGCCAGTTTTCCACAGTGGGTGCATGATTTACATTCCCATCAGCAGTGTATCAGGGTTCCAGTTTTTCCATATCCTTTCCGACGCTTGTTTTTTTCAATGTTTTGATAATGGCCATCCTAGTTGGTGTGAAGCGGTGTCTGTTCCTTGTGCTTTTAATTTGCATTTCCCTAATGACTAATAATGTTGAGCATCTTTTCATGGGCTTGCTGGCCATTTTGTATATCTTTGGAATATCTATTCAAGTCCTTTGCCCATTTTTAAATTGAGTTGTTTGTCTTTTTGTTGTTAAGTTATAAGGTTTCTTTATATACTCTGGATATTAGACCCCTATCAGATATATGATTTGAAAATACATCCTTCCATTCTGTGGGTAATCTTTTCACTCTCTTGACAGTGTACTGTCAAGAATGCATGAAAGTTTTAAAGATTGATAAAGTTGAATGTACCTCTTTCTTTCCTCTTGTGCTTTTGGTGTTATATTTGAAAAAACATTGCCAAATCTAAAATCAAGATTTACCCATAAATTTTCTTCTAAGAATTTTATAGTCTTATTTCTTATATTTAGTTTGCTGATCCATTTTGAGTTAATTTTTGTATATGGTTGAGGTAAGGGCCCAGTCGTCCAGTTCTATTTGTTGAAGACTCTGTTCTTTCCCCATTAAATGGTCTAGGCATTCTTACTGATAATCAGTTGACTGTAGATGCATGGGTTTATTTATGGATTCTCAGTTCTATTCCATTAATTTATATATCTCTCTTATGTCACTACCACACTGTGCTGTAGCTTTGTAGTAAATTTTGACATTGGGAAGTTTAGGTAGTCCAACTTTTTTTTTTAAGAACATTATTTTGGCTATTCATAATCCTTTGCAATTTCATACAGATTTTAGGGTCTTTTCCATTTTTCTAAAAAAGGCCTTTGGGGTTTTGAATAGGGATTGTGTTGAATCTGTAGATTGCTTTAGGTAATATTGACATTTTAATATTAAATCTTATGATCTGTGAACATGTCATGTCTTTCCATTTATTCAAGTATTCTTTAATTTCTTTCAGTAATGTTTTGTGGTTTTGAAGTCTTGTATCCCCTTGGTTAAATTTATTCCATGCTATTTATTGTAAAGTGAATTTTTAAAATGCTTTTGTAAACGGAATTATTTCTTGATATCATTTTCAGAGTGTTCATTGCTACTGTATAAAAATGCAAATGATTTTATGTGTTGATCTTATATTCTGCAGCTTTGCTGAATTTGTTGTATGATTATTCAAATGAAAAAAATATATTGTGAGTTCATACCAATATTTCCAAATCTGATTTTGTTTAAAGTTTAAGGGTTAAAGATTATAAGATTTTTCCTTTAACTTTTTCAGCTTTATATTTATAGCTCTTTTCATTTATGCTGAAAGTCTTGACAGTAGTGAATTACTTGCTTTATTATTTATATTTATATATACATATTAGTATTGCTATTTTGAGCTTGTTTTAGAAAATGTTTGCTGAAAACAATTTTAAGAATTCTTACAGTTAATAAGAATTCTACTAGGGATTTACAGTCAAATTTCTGTTTTAAAATAATTTGAAATGATTTCTGTCTGAGTTTAAGCCACCCAGTTGATACATAGTTTGATACATTTGTCTGTTTTGCTGTCAGTTTTGGAGAATAACCTGTTTTCATTTTAATTTACTTTTGTTTTAAATTATGTAAAATACTTTCATGATTGCAAAACCGAAACTACAATATGAGGTGTATTTAGAAAAATCTAGCTTTTATCCTCTCCCTCTCCTATAGGTGACCATTTTTATTAGTTTCTGGGTTTTTTTTTTTTTTTGAGAAAATGTATGTACACTTAGTTATATTTCTCTTTCCTTCTTAGATAAAACTTATACTTTGTTTTACACCTTTTATGTTTTTTGACTTAACATAAGTCCTGGAAAACACTCATAGTGTAGGGGGCTCTCCCTTACTGCTTTTTATACCTGCATAACACTGACTTTTTTATTCAGGCAGTTCCTTATTGATTACGTTAAGGTATTACATAGGGAAATTTTGATGGGACCAAGTTTTGGGTTCTGCACTGAAACTATTTTTCATTTATATCATAAAGATATTATTTTACCATAAATACGCAAACAGTATAGGAGTGTGCACAGTAAAATGTGTAAGGTTTTCTCTGATTTCCATCTGCTCACATTCTCTCTGATCCTGTTTCCAGAAATTACTATTAGTGAGTTAGTTCAAGATATTTTTTAGGAGTAGACAGCATTTAATACACTGTAAGTAATTTTTAAACCAAATTGGGATCAATACCTTGATTTCTTTAATATTATCAATTGAGCTTCAGATTTGGGTAATGAAAAAGATTCCTGAGTTTAACTAAAGACTTAAAAAAGTGATTTTGAGACTTTTTTTTTCTGTTTTCATTAACACTAGGAAATATATTGTGTGTGTGTGTATAACTTCTTAAATTTTTTATATTGTAATTTCTGCTCTAAAATCCACAAAGTAATGTGTGTAGCTGTATTCCTCTTTACATTCTTCTTAGACTCAAACTTATATTTGGAAAGAAATTGAGAAATTTTATTATATTCTACTGTGTCTTAATACTAAAAGTAAATCCAGAGAAAGTCAGGATACCTGTTAACCAGTGAACTCCATAAAGGCAGGAAAAACCTGTCTAGTTCATCGCTGGGTCTCTAGCACCTAGGACAGCGACTGCTTCCCTATTCTTCCCACTCTTGTTTTGTTTTTGCTGTAAGTCACAAATGGATCATGTTCTGAGTCCTTTTTTCATTTATTAATATATCATGGACATTTTCCATGTTAGTGCTTAAAGTATCTACTTAATTCTTTTAAGTGAGTGTATTAATTCAGGTACTATATATTACATATTAGGTAGTTTAAAATACTTTAATTTGAAGCCCTTTCCCCTCCTCTACGCACCTCTGCCCTTAGACTTTGGTACTAGTGTTCTGTTTTTAAAATATTAGTGGAAGATACTAAACTGAGGGTTATGGTGGAATGAATGTGTATAACTCCCTCTTTTAAAGTGTGTAACATAAGCAAATGTTTTTGTAGAATAGCACCGTGGGTAACATGCTTTAAACAAATCTAATGTATGACTATTCTGATCATAAATATTAGAGTAATTCATTTTTAAATATTTTGATAAGTTCACGTAAGGAGAAATAGAATTAGCATGTGAAAAAAGAATGTTCCATTTAGTATATTTGATGAAACACAAAAATGGAATGAGACAAAGTTACACCCCTTCCTCCTCAGTGAAATTGGCAAAGATTATAAGTATAATATAGTTATGACAAGGGTGTTGCTGAAGGAAAGTAAATTTATTTCTGGAGGGCAGTTTGGCAGAGTTTTAGAAGTTCTACTTCTGTGGATTTTATTTTAAAGAAAAAATTAAGGATATGCTCATAAATTTAGATATACATGAATATTTACAAAAAATTTAATCCTGGGACTAATAACAGTAAATAGTATTTTCTTCATGCCATACATTTATTTAATCCTCTCAACAGTGATTTGGTATTCATGCAATAGGATAAAAAATGATGATGTAGAAGAATATTTAACATAGAAATAAGTTCATGATGAGTGCAAATAGCATAAGAATGAGTGAAAAAGAGTATGAGCAATGTGATTGAATTGACGGCAGCAAAATAGAGAAAACAGTATTCTCCAAATATTTATACTTATGCTGATAATCCTTTATTACACTATAATCTAGTTATAATCCTGTCATTCAAATATGTTAATTTTATTCTTTTTGCTATCTTTATTTTTCTAGGTTTTTCTACAGTGAACATATTTTGTCTAACAAGAAACTTGTTAGTTTTAAGATGTTTTTTGAATTTGTAAAAGGATTTACTTCAGGATTCCTGAACACTAATTCTCTAAGCACCTTTACAGTTCCATTAGTAGCAGTTTAAATCTATAACTTTTGGTGAAAACATAAAATAGGGATTAAGATGAAGCATAGTCTTTGATTTCTGTTAATTTGATGGTGTTTCTGGGGAATAGAAATGGAAAAAGTAGGAAGTTAAGTTTCGGTATCTAAAGTTTGAAGCCTGACAATGGCAAAATGACAGTATTTTAAATGTTAGTTTTGAGGTTGCTGGCAGTGAAGTTTCATCTGAATTAAGGAGAGAGAAGGAGGGAGGAAAAAGAGGAAGAAGGAATGAAATAAAAAAGAACATGCTATATTTTCATGGTATTGTAATCAAGTATTTTCTCTTTTCCAGTTAGGAATTTAGTAATTCTGAGTTTTATAGTTTCAGTCTTGTTTCTGCCCTTTTCAGGAATTGAGAAAATTAGTTCACCAGGTTGCTGCTAATCCATCTGATCTATGTAGGACTAGAACTTGTGCTTGCTTTACTTAGTTTCATCTTTGAGACCTTGTTAAAATGTTTTTCTCAGTCAGGCCTTCTTTAACCCATTATTTTAAAAGTGTAGCTGCTCTCCGATCCTGCACTTTTCATTCCCCTCCTCTGCCCTTTTTTTTATTAAAGCATTATCACCTTGTTATATATATTTCACTTATTTTGTTTGTGCCTGCTCTTCCCACCTTCCCGGCCTAAAATATAAGTTCCAGTAAGTGCACGAATTTTTGTTTCTTTAATATCTTGTGTATTTCCAGAGCTCAGACCAATGCCTGGCACATAATAGGATTTCAATGAGTATTTTTTGAATAATGAATAGTGAGTATTCATTTGTGGAATGATTAGATGTTCTATTTAAAGGTTGATGGAGGTGAATTCTAAGTGTTTACAGAAGGTTAGGATTCCATAGTTGTTTTGTAGTGTAGTTGTTTCATTGTTGGTCTAGTAGTAGAATTACATTTATAGACAAGTTGGAATTTCTGAATTAATTTCTGAATAATTCCAGAACAAGTATTATTGTTTAATTATTAATTTTTATGATATTATTTACTAACTTGCTAAATAAATAACAAAAAGACCAATAAAATGAATCGGAGAAGAATCTTTGGCTTGCTGTGAGAGCTTGGCCTTTCTGGTCCTTGTGAGGGAGCTGGATTAAGGTTTAAGAGCTCTCTTGCTCTCTCTTTGACTTTAAGATTCATCCCAGGGACTTTGTGTTTTTAGATATATTTCTTAGAAAATAACAAGTTGTGAGGAAATGAGTTGGATGAAACTTGCTACATGATTGCTTTTTTGAAATCAAAACTGTTGTTGAATGTTAATTAGTACCACAGCTTTGTGTGAAAGCTTTTATACTTGAATGATAATGAGACATTGTTAGAGAGACGGAGTGTTAGGTGTTCCAAGATTGCCACATTTATTCACCCAACACTCTAGGCCAACTCTTTGCTAGGCACTCCGCTAAACTACTGAGCAAACAGAAGTCAGTAGGACAGATTCAGTAATGAGACAGTAAAAATATTTGTTTCATAGTGCTTCTCCTAGGTATGGGGTTCCCAAAAGCAAGAGAATTTATTTTCTTGGGTATATAGGGGTTTGATTTAAATTTAAATTGAAAATGAGCCATTAACTAATGTTGAGGAGATGTATAAGCACAGCATAATTTTAATATCACTTTGCTGTTGAGCTAGAATTTGTATGAATATATATCTTTTGAAGGTATTAGCATTTATTTTGTATCTTATCCTTTTTGCCTGCTTTATTCTTTTAATGTAGCCCTTATAACAATCCTGAGAGATAGGAAATTGAGTTTCAGAGTTTAAGTCATTTGCTTAAGGTTCATAGCTTAAAAGTTGTGGATTTTAAACTAGGCCGATTGATGCTGAAGTCTATAAACTTTTTGTGACACTTCCAAAAGAAGCTGCCTTTTTTTTTTTTAAAGTCAGTAGGTAATGTTTAATAACTTGATGTACTGAAAGCTGTGCTGTAAATTTTTTCCCCCAAATTGAGTATTTGGCTTTTGAACCCCAGTATTTCAAAATAAAAATTCTTTTTTTTCTTATAAAAAATAAAATGTGTTCATTATGACAAGAAGCATAAGATGAAGGAGAAGAGAAAAGGTAAAAAGGTAGAAAGGTAGCTGGGCTGAGGAGAATGATAGTGCTGTTGATCCTCTGTTAACCATTTGGTGTACAGATGATACTTAACATGATATATAGTTTGGATTCCAGTTTCTGAGACCTGGAGTCAAATCTGGCATCCATCATCTAATGGTTTTGTGAATTGAGGCTTTCATGGTTTGGGGGCAAATTATTTATTTCGGTTTTGCAGATAAAAGAACTGAGGTATAGAGAGGGCAGCCTACATCATAAAGTTTTGAATATTAAATGTGATAAAGCATAAAATATTTAGCACATACTTAAAATTCCAGGCACATCTTAGTTCTTTTCACACAGATATATTATCTTCTACTGAAATGAATCATCAGAAATTACAACTGCCTTTTTGAAACCTATTATATCAAAGGTATCTTTTCATATAAATTCATTTTAAGTCATCAGATAATAATTAATCCATGCAGTGGGATGCTATAATATATTCAGCCATCCCCTTGGTAGATGTTTAATTGTTTCTAGTTTTCTCTTTTGCGATTGTAAATAATGCCTCAATAAGTATTCTTGTAGCGTACCTTTTCGTAAGTTTTTATCCTATTAAGGTAGAGTTGGAGGTTGAGGAGTATGTACACTTAAGATTTCTGATCCGTGTTGTTGTGTTACACTCTGGAGATATAGTGACTATTTGTGTTCCTAACTAATTTATATGGACACCTGTTCTCCTGCACTCTCACTGAATTAGATTATGTTAATAAACATCATTGTTGATTTGATCAGTTTTACATTGCTTTGATTACTAATAAGTTTGAGGGTTATTTTTCTACATGCATATTGACTCCTTGCTTATTATACTGTTTCCCCATTAGTTTTCATATTCTCATTCCCATTTTGGAGGATATTTGTCTTTTCCTTAGTGAATGTGAAAAGAGCTCCTCATACACGAATACTATGAACTCATTACTGTATATTGTGTTACCTCCCAGATTGTCAGTTTTTCTTGTAATTTTGCTTATGTTTATTTTTAGAAGCATAAAAGTTTAAAAAATTTATATCAACACATCTTTTGGTCTTCTAGCTTTGGAGTCATGCTTAGAGAAGCTTCTTGCCCTTCTCCAAACTATATATATCAGTTCTCAAACTTCTTAGCCTCAGGACCCCTTTGTACTCTTAAAAACTATTCAGGGCCCTAAAGAGCTCTTATTCATGTGAGTTGTATCTGTTGATATTTGCCACGTTATAATTTCCTTTCCTTTCTATAATTTAAAACTGAGAAATTTATAAAATATTTATTAGAAAACAGTAAGTCCTCTACATGTTAAACATTTTTAATTAAAAAAATTATATTTTCCAAATTAAAAAATTAAGAAATTTTACATTTTTGAAAATCTCTTTGCAAAGAGAGTGAGAGTGGAAAAGCATTGTTATGTGAAATATTATTGTTATGAAAATTGTTTTGGCTTCATGGGCCTCATGAAACAATTCAGAGATCTAGACTACACTTTGAGAACTGCTGATATAAATATTCAATTATATTTTCTTCTTGTACTTTTATGACTGAATTTAAATCTGGAATGAATTTGAGTATAACCCTCCGGCCCCCCATGTTAGCCAACGTCTTTTGAAAGTCCCATTTTCTTATAAATCATTGACTGACTCTAATGAAGCTGTAAACTTACCTCCCTTTTCTCAGTTGTTACTGGCTGAGCTTAACTTTCATTGAAAGCAGTGGTCTTAGCAATCTTTGCTTAATGTTGTATCTCTAATTTGGTATATTTTCTTAGGTTCCTGATGTATTCCCCCAACTCCAACTTTCAGTTTCACACATATTGTCCTTAAAAATATAAAAGATTTTTCACTTATACCCATGATTGTGGCATATTACTCTAAGTAATACTGTTGTGTTCACCAGTTACGAAAGTGATGTATAATCATTGTAGGAAATTTAAAATGTGCATAGAAGCATACGCAAGAAAAGAATGATTTGTCACTTTGAATATTCAGAGTGCTGCAGATGTGCTGTTATTGCTGTGCTGTGATGGAGATTACTTCAGTATTGAAAAATGCTAGCAAGTTGAACTATACGTAAATTCCTACTCCAGGCTTAATAAATTGTACATCTTTTGGTGTGCTGCTTAGCTTCTTGTGATTCCCTCGCTCACCAGACTTAATGTTTATTATTTTTTGTGTGTTCCTAGGTGCTTTGGATAAAAAGAACAAGACACCGTTTCCCCTGTCACTAAATTTGCAGGTTAATGAAGAGATAATAAACATGTTTTGTGATAAGTATTATTATAGCTATAGGCAATTATGAGTATTATGGGAGAGCCTAAGCAAGCTATTGTTGAAAAATGTTGGGGGAGTGAAGAGAAGAGGGTGGTCTTGAGAAGGTTAAGGCTGTACTGTCTTCCTTTAGAATTTGATGACTTACTTAGCTCTCTGGGTCGAGTGAAGGAAGGAGTCAAGAATGACTCCCAACTATTTGACTTGGAAGACAAGGTGGATAATGTTTACTAAAATAGGGCATACACTCTACTCCCAACAAAATAAAACCCCTGCACATCTATACTTTGTAAGTCTCTGTTCCTTTGCTTTTCAAGATAAGTTATGTTGTGGCCGTGTTGAGTTTGAGGGGCCTGGAAATATTCAGGTGGTGATGTGTGGGAGGCATTGGAAAGCTTCTAGGAGAGTTTTGTGGGCTAGAGAGTTAGCAGTGTAGCATAAGTGGTTGAGTGATTAAGATCATCCTTTGAGAATTCTTAATAGAAGACAAGGACAGGGACCCTCCAACATTTGAGAGACAGGCAAAGGAAAATGAATCTAGCAAAAAGTAGTCAGAAGAGGGAAAACAAAAGAGTGGTGGTGTAGAGTGCAACTGACCAGAATTTAAAGAAGGACAAGGGTAGAGAAGTAGGGGACCTGAAGTGTTAAATCCTGCTTAAAAAGATGAATAACACCTGAAAACTGTTCATTAGATTTCGGAATAAGGAGACATTGTTGATTTAAGCAATGACAGCTTAGTTGGGGATCTGGGTATACAAGCTATGGCAAAGAGGATAAAAGTGAGGAGGTAGAAGATAGTGTTGGCTACTTTTAGAAGCTTGCTTATGAAGCTAGGGAAGTGCAAATTAGAAGTGGACAAAAACAGGGATTTGAGAATGTTTATGTTCTAAGGAAGAAGAGGGGAGAGAATAAGAGATTGAACCGAGAGATTGGAAAATACCATTATCTTGAACTTTCTAGAGAAATGATTTCAAACTGTTTGCCCTTTTTGTAAAAATTGTTCTAAATATATTTTAGATAATGCTGACTATGGTTTTTGATACCTTTTAATGATAATTCAGTTGTGGATATCATTTACTCTACTGTTCTACTGAAGGACATAGAAACAGCCCCATTCCAAAATACAATAGCTTAGGGCTATTTAATATAACCATGTAGTTGTTTTTTGATGGTCAGTTTCATCTTTTCCTTGCATGTGCATTTGTCCATACCCCACCACCCCAACTTATTAATGTGGTTGGTCGTAGCATTAATACCACCTGTTTGTACAAATATGCTCTAACTGTAAGCTGGGAAGTCTATATCATCATTAGAATTGTGCTCTGAGTGAGATTACTGATTTTAATCAGTAGATTGTAAGGAAGATCTGGGGGTTGCTTCCATAAAGTTTAGTCTGTTGTATATATGTATATATATGATTTTCTGTACTGTTTTACTTAAAGGATGTAGAGCTCCATGGTTAGATTGCTTTAGAATCCCAACTCCACTTTGAACAAATGACTTACTTTCAAAACTTGAGTTTCTTTATTTTCAAAATGATAGTATTAATACTTACTACATCGCAGGATCATCATGGAGGACATCTGTCTCCAGGGTTTTGATTTTCTAAGCTTAATGCTTCTGG